GGCCGAGAGGCCGATATGAAATCCAAGTCATCACTTGACTGCACCTATGCATTCAAATAAAATTGTTATGATTTTTTGAGCTTATAATTCGCTATTGGATTTGGGCCTACATTAAATGGCCTCAAATTTTCAACCTGGAGCTCAAATTTTGTTTCTATGCTGGGCATAGAAACCAGAGTGTGTTTTAGATAACATTTGGTTTTGGAGCTTATTTATCGCCACACCCGTTTGTCGTGACCCGTGGCGCGAGACTTCAATAGTCTGCCGGTGTACGCGGGTGCTCGGAATAAGTCCGTTTTTCAATGTAAAAAAAATACACACTATTCAAAAATAATGACAATAAATTAATAAACTAACTCAACTTGCCACTCAAGTTCGTAGTTCGAATCCGCCAGTCCGCGCTTTTCAGGATCTTTTAACGGATGACTCGCCCCTTGAGATTGAAGTTTGATGTTATATTATTAATTTTTCATCTTTATGACTTTTTTTGAAGTCTTCAAAGGCAATGATAATAAATTAATAATCTAGCTCAACTTGTCACTCAAGTTCGTAGTTCGAATCCGCCAATCCACGCTTTTCGGGATCTTTTAACGGATGACTCGCCCCTCAAGATTGAAGTGTTTTGCTATATTATTAAAATATTTCATTTTATGACTTTTTTTTTGTAAGTCTTTAAAAGTAATGATAATAAATTAATAATCTAGCTCAACTCGTCACTCAAGTTTGTAGTTCAAATCCGCCAGTCCGCGCTTTTCGGGATCTTTTAACGGATGACTCGCCCCTCAAGATTGAAGTGTTTTGCAATATTATTAAAATATTTCATTTTATGTTTTGTTTTTTCGAATCAGTTTATGACTAAAAACTAATAAATAGAAGGAGTTTTAGGCACTTAGCTCTTATTTGGGCCGAAGCCTGCCCTGCTTAGAATTCCAGCAGGGAGATGTAAGATTGGGCCTGCTCCATAAAGAATCCAGTGAGATAAATAGCTGGCCGGCCCATAGTTTACTAGCCCAGTGTTTTATATGAGATGCTAGGAGGTCCAGATCATGTCTTATTGATTTCATCCGCAGAGAGAAGTAAATTCGGAGGCGTGAAACGTAAGGACGAGGAGACTTCCCGGCGTCGCTGGCGTGGCTTGCGGACGAGGAGGAAGGCTGCTGGTCCCCACCTGAACCAACCCGGTTGTGCTAGGTGTTGCTAGGCCAAGGAGGAAGGCTGCTGGTCCGCGGTTTTGGCCGATGGGAGCCAGGGACGACGACGGCCTCTCTGGTGAACGAGGGTGACACCTCCTGCTCTGGCCGAAGGGTTGTCCTCTCCGTTGTTTTTCCGAGGCGACCAGGATTTGGCCGATGTGGGACTTTGCCGAGGTGAGACCCCTACTGTGTTCAATCGAGTGAGGCGTTGCGTTCTTTAATTGCTTGGCCGGTGCGGTCCAGACTATGCGGTCCGGACGATACGGTTGCTTGACGAGGTGGCCTGTTTTGGCCGATGCGGTCCGGGACGATGCGATTGCTTGACGAGGTGGTCCTGTTTTTACTGATGCGGTTCGGTCCGGACGATGCGGTCCGGTCCGGACGATGCGGTCGCTTGACGGGGTGGCCCTGTTGTGGCCGATGCGGTGCCGGCTGAAGTGGTGTCGGTCGATGCGGTGCCGGCCGATGCGGTGCCGGGTGATGCGAGCCAGACGATGCGGTGCCCCCCTTTTAGCAGGTGCGGTGCGCCGATGTGTTGCCGGCCGATGCGGTTGCTGGAAGAGGGCGTTGCTGGCCGACGCAGTGCCGGCCGACGCAGTTGCTGGCCGGTGCAGTCTGGCTCATGTCGCTAGCTGATGCCGCTGACCGATGGTGCACACCTGGTGGAGACGATGGGCTGTTGGTGACCTCAAGTTGGGATGGACGAAGTGGCGTCCATAGCCGAAGCGAGGCCCTTTGCCGAGGTGGTGCCCTGGGCACTGGTCATCACTTGGTGGGGACGGGGTTCTTTTTTCTGGAAGTGATCAACTCTACTGCCTTTATTCTGGCCGAGGAGATCTCTGGCTGAGAGGCCATCCCTTCCCCAACTAGGCCGAGGTGGCATTTTGCTTTAGTTGAGGCTTGCCGAAGGTCCCACCATCTCTTTGCTTGACTTTTTCCTTTGTTTTAGTTGCTATTTGGCCGAAGGATGATGGGAGTTCTTCCCTTTGGCCGAGGAACATACGTGACATACGAGGCTAGGTGGCATGTTGCTTCGGCTGGGCCGAAGCGGTATCACGCAGTCTACTAAGTGATGTTTTATTGGTAAGGGGAGGATCTCACTTGATATGTTCTAGCTCTCAATGAAAGCACCAAATGATAGAGTATTAATCTAGAGAGAAGGGAGAGCTAGAGAGATAAAGTGATATGTATAAATGAATTCCAATCAAACATCCAATCAATCATCCTTTACATGTCTCCCATAGGGAGTATTTATAAGAGAAAAGTGGGTTGGGCTTCCAGGCTTGGGCCTGGAAGGCCCAACTACAATAAAAGACCAATAAATGGCTAATAAATGGTATTTAATCTATTCTAATGGGTGTACATGAATAAAATAGAGTGTACAATGAGATAAATGCTATCTACTGAGCGTATGTGGGCCGCTGTCCGGGCCCAATAGTCGTGAGACCCGGGGGTCCGAGTCTATATACTCTATCATTAATATAGTTATAATATTTTAATATAATAATAGTAATATAAATGCAATTATTAAGAAGACTATTATTATTATTACAATATTATAATAATAATATGATTAATATTATTATAATATTATATTATAATTATATGTAATTATAATTATACTTACAATTATAATTCTTATAATTATAAGTATATCAATTTTAATTATTATAATTATATCTATAATTAATTATAATTATAATTGTAATTAATTATAATTATAATAATTATAATTACAATCATAATTATAATTATGATTATAATTATAATTATAATATAATATTATAATGATATAATACTAATTATAATATTATTATTATTATTATTATTATTATTATTATGTTATTGTAATAATAATATTAATATAATAATATCATTATAATAATATTAATTGTATTTATATTACTATTATTATATTATAATATTATAATTAATGTTAATATAATTATAATTATTATTAGTTATAAATATACTTATAATTATATTATAGTTATAATTTATGATTATAATTATTATTTTTATTATAATTATTAATATTATTATTATTGTTACTATTGTAATTATTTTACGGAGTAATTATAACAATATTGATAACTATAGTTACAATTATAGAGATAAATATTGTAATTATAATTACAATTATAATTATATAAGTAATTATAATTAAAAATATAATTACAATTATAATTATATCTATATTTATAATTAGTGTAATATGTATAAATTTTTTCATTTTAAATTTAATTTTAATTATTATTATTATTTTTATAGTTACGATTATAATTATAATTTTATTTAAGTTATATTTGTAATTGCAATTATAATAATTATAATTATAATTATAATCATACAAATATTCAAATCAGATCAGATCAGAAAGATTCAGATCAGATCAGAAGGATTCAGATCAGATCAGACCAGATCAGAAACATTCAGATCAGATCAGGAAGATTCAGATCAGATCAGATCAGATCAGATCAGAAAGATTCAGATCAGATCAGATCAGATCAGAAAGATTCAGATCAGATCAGATCAGATCAGAAAGATTCAGATCAGATCAGATCAGAAAAATTCAGATCAATCAGATCAGATCAGAACTTAAAAAATTCAGATCAGAAACATTCAGATCAGGCGAAGAGAACAGCTTCTAAAAGTAAGTAAAAAGATATGAGACGTTTATATCTAATTTTGAAATTCATTTATTTATAGAGATGAGCCGTTCATTTTGGGACTCGATAAAGAAAGTGAGAAGTTATTTTGAGAATGGAGGATGTATATATTTTCCAAAACCACAGAGGCATGCCATTTTTATTTCTACTAGTATGAACAGTGTCAAACCATTTTTATTTCTACTAGTATGAACAGTGTCAAACGACATGATTTATTTATAGATACATGTAGGGGTGGACTGAACCGGGCCGGTTCGGGCCTCGGGCCTGGGCCCGGCCGGGCCTCGGTTCAGAATATTGAGGCCCGAGCCCGAACCGGGGGTGGCCGGTTCCGGGCCGGTTCCGGGCCAGACCGGGCCGGTTCCGGGCCGGGCCACCCGCCCTATTTTTTGTTTTTTGTTTTTTGGCTTCTTTATTTAATCCCCTACCCCTCTTTCTCAACCCCAAACCACCCCAAACCACCTCAAATGGACCAAAATACCTAATCTAACCCAAAACATAAAAAATTTTCAAAAAAAAATAAAAAAAAAAATATTTCCGGCCCGGACCGGGCCCAAACCGGCCGGGCCGGTTCACCATATGGAAGGCCCGGGCCCGGAACCGGGAACCACCGGGCCGGTTCGACCCGAACCGCCGGTGAACCGGGCCACCGGGCCGGGCCGGTTGCTACAGTGGCCGGGCCGGGCCGGTTCCGGGTCGGGCCGCCCGGCCCGAGTCCAAGCCTAGATACATGTTCTTACTTTCATCTTCTTACTAGTTTTTCCAGTCCTTAGATTATTCATTATCTTTGCAATTTTATTCTTTTAACTCCCTTAGAGCATACAAGTGCAAGTAAATTTTACGTAGTATATTGTGCTTATTTTTATGTTGATCACGTTCTTATGTAATTTTTTGGTGTTTTCAACGTTTGATTCAATCAAAATTTAGAACCCACTTGTCGAAAGTTAATAATATTGAAAATATGTACTAAATGAAATATTGATGTCAACCATTTTTGTCCATAAACTCCTAAGGTCTAAGAATATAAATTAACATGGTAACAAGTAACATCAATACAGAATAAACAAGCCTATCTAACTATCTTTTCCTCAAACCTGATTGGTAGGTATTGGCTATGGTTTAAGACTTCTAAGGCCAATTTGAAAGTGAAGCATGGCAGGCTCAATTAGTAATGAAAAATATCACATATTACTACTACGTAATATTTACATCGAATGCAAGTGAAACAAATTGGGAATGAAATTTTTGGGATCGAGGGAGAAAACATTTTTCGGATATCATCATGCCATTAGTAGCACGGACACATAAACAAATACATAGAACGGGACACCAAAAACACACATTTTTAAGTTATATACATTGGATTGTACAATGTATCAAGTGTGGTATAGATTAAACTAGTGGAATTTGTACACAAAACACAGTCACTTCAAGATCCTTGATTCAATTTCTTCCAAGCTCAAGCCTTTGGTCTCCGGGACAGAGGTAACCACAAACACCAGAGACAGCAGGGCAACCAATCCAAACAAAAGGAACAGGTTATCCGCACCCAATAGTTCCTGAAGAATTTAACTACGTCGCTCAGATTGAAGAAATGGAAAACCGCAAAGAAGGTGCAGTTTCTTTCATAGCCTAATGAATACACGTGTAATTAGTAGTACCGTTAAAGGTGAGAAAGCGAACGTGACTAAAGCATTAGACGCAAAGTTAGTAAGGACTGCAAGACTGATTCCCTTTCCTCTTGTGCGCAGTGGGAATATTTCTGACACCATTAGCCAACTGATAGGTCCAAATGATATCTGATAGCATCCCACATACAGAAGCAAAGCAGCCACCGCAACTAAAGGAAACCCGCCAAGAAACTTGTAATAAGCCGAAAGAAGAAAAAGTGATAAGGCCTGCTCATAAATAAATAAACAAGAGATTAGGTTAGGGTCTTTCAACTAGGCCATAAACATTTGAGCCAAACCACATAAAAGATTGAATCTTATATATTAATAACTAATTCAACTCATGGTTTCTCTACAAACTCTTCTCTGTAACTTTACGATGTCGGACTCTTAACACTTCCCTCAAGTGGACAACCAGGCCATTTTGTATCTAACTGGTTTGTCAGTTGCAAATTGAACACCCTCTCCCCTTGAGACTCAATTTCGAGATGACCATAAGCAGCTACAAATGGACTTCCAGAATCCAGACTAGCATGAGTTTGGGTCAATGACTCACTGAGGGCTGGACTTCCAGACGGAGAATTGGGCTAAAGACTCATAGACCCCCGGGACAAACTTCCAGACAAACAACGGGACAAACAAAGGTTAGCTCTGGTATAATGAGAGAATTCAGGATTGAATTGGGGTAACTGAGTAACTCAATTGGACCATAAACATTTGTACAAAAACACACACAAAAATTGAATTCATTAGCCTATTAACTCAATGACTTATTAATCAATTTTTACGGGGACTTTAACACAATCTGCGGACAAGATTGAAATTAGATAATTATAAATATTGCTGAAAGAGACGTACAATGCCACTGACTCCACCGATTAGGAGAGGTCTTCTCCCAAGATCATCTACCTTTAGGACAGCTATCCCCGTCATTATTGCCTGCAGCAGCATAAGTGTAGCTTGAATGAAATGTTAAGGGTACACATTAGGACAATAAATGAGACACTAGATGTACCTTGAAAATGCCGATGATCACTGACACCCGTGTGGCATCAGAAGCAGCAGAAAACCCAGCAGTCTAGAAAAATAAGGTAAACATTGGGAAACAATATGACAATAATGTTAAGCAAAGACACTATTTTCAAATTATCTGTCTTGAATGTACCTGAAGAATGGGACCAGCATAGTATAAAACACTTGGCTGCCCAGTTATCTACAAAACACACCACGTAACGTTATATACAACTTCATTCATTCTTAAAGGTCAATACAATCAGAAGAACAATTCAAGTTTCTCATATGTGGAATTGTACTTTTATATTTATTTGGAATCATACCTGCTGAAAGAAGACTAATCCACCCCCAATTATAAATGCTTTTAAGCTTGGACCTTGAAATAATTCTAAGAAACTCCCACTGGTTTCCTCCTCATTATTATAAGCAGCTTTCAATGAGACTAGAGTATCTTCTATTTGTTTCTCAGACACCTTATCTCCAGCAGGTCGGCCTCTAAGCTTGCTCAAAGCCTTCATAGCCTTTTCTTTGTATTCTTCTAGACGTCCTTTTCCTTGAATCGCCCTCAGAAGTAACCATCTTGGAGAAGGCGGTAAACTCAACATCCCTAACCCCATGAGCAAAGCAATTGGTGCACTAAACCCAAACATGACACGCCACCCTCCAATGGCATTAATTTCATAGCTACCCACAAAATAACCCATCTACGGGAAAAAAAAATTTGATCAAATAAAACACAGAACGACAGCAATCTTTTTAGTGCATGTATTTCATGACTAGCTGAAAAGCTACTTCTTGAAACTTTTGGTAGCTTTTAGCCTTTAGTAGGTGAAAGTTTGTAGATTAAACAGATTGTAGTTCTTTGATAAAAGATGTCATGTCAAACAAACAACTAGGGGCTTTTCCACAGTTATTCCACAATATATTTTTTCTTATATGTACTATAGATATAGTACATATAAGAAAAAAAAAATTGGGAAGAGTAAAACAGTTTTTGGCGAGATTCTACCCCATGTAACGTTTGAGAAAAGCTTCAAGCCTCTTGAATATATTCTCTTGCCAAACGCATGACTAGGGGCATTTGAAGACATCTTTTTTATTGTAAAAAACCTAGAAGGTCTTATTTATGTATGCCAAACATGGAGCTACTATATATAATGTTATATTTACCAAAATGCCAAAAACTATAGCTAGCTCCTTTAAGGAAATCAGGGTTCCCCGAATTTGAGTGGGACATGTTTCTGCAATATATAGAGGTGCACCATGCATAGCCTGCCAAAAGAGATCATGAAATTGATTAGCAGCTAACAGAAATAAAGGAAAAATTAACATAGAAAAGTAGGCTAACAGTGAAGGAATAATGGAAGAATGGAGTCCGGGGAAAATATAAAGCGCAGCCCAGTGCACAAAGGCATCCCCACAAGGCGACGGTCCGGGGAAGGATCTCACCACAAGGGTGCATAAGGGGCAAGCCTTCCCTTGTCAATTTTTTTACAAGAGACCGCTCCCAAGATTTGAACCCGTAACCTTTTGGTCACACAACACCTGAACCGGTGCACCTAGGGTCCCCTTCAGTGGGGTGAGAATATAATATATTGAACATAAATAAAGATTCAAAAGTCGTAGTTTGATTGATTGCAATTGGCATATTCAACGAAGTATTGAGTAAACATAAGACATGCAAAAATGTCCTTCATACATATACTGCAGGGGGGGTTATTATGTCCACCTCTCAAATGCTCCATTAACAGTAACGCAGAAAAAAGGTTGCCCGGTGTTTTTTCTTGATGCACAATGTATGAATATAAATGTGGAAATTTCTTTTGTACCAAACGAGCCATAAATGTGGGGTGTAGCGAACAAGGATCATAGGGAAAGTTTACCAAACCAATACCAAGCCCATAAATAAGCCTCCCTACTAATAAAACAGTTAGGCCTGAAGCATATGAAGTTAATGAACCACCAAGTGCATATAGAACGGCTGCTATTATAAGTTCCCTTCTCCTGCCTACACATATAATGGATCATGAAAAGAAGGAAAAACTTATTAGGAAGGAGTTCCAAAGTAAACATGGAAAAACATGATTGCCCAATCAGTCATAGAATTGTACATACCAAGGAAATCCGATAGTGGGTAAACAATGATGGAGCCAAGCAATGCTCCGTAAAGGGACCCACTTACCTAAATCAAGAGTGAAGTAAAAATAAAAAGGGAAAATTATTGTTGCCTCCAACGGTTAGGTCATAAGTAATAGTCCGACTTTATATTTTTAAAAGTCAATCAATTACCCCTTGAATTTAAATTATCACAAATTCCTCTTTCGTCAATATTTACCCCATTATCAAATAATCTCTTAGAATCCAAAACACTTCTTTGTTATTATTATATGGGATGAATGTTTGTATTTCCTGACCCACTGCTACTCCCAATTACACTTCTCTAGCAAACAAACATAGATGAAGAAATAATGTACGGTGTGCCACAATCATGACTTGTAATGATGAAAAACAAGTATTCTAACTTTCCTGAATACTTATTTTCTATAAGTATTCAACAGTTGAATGGAGTCAAATGAAATAAATATATACAAAAGAGGGAGTTGCGAGAATAATCAAATCTCAAGGGTTAACTAATTGAATTTTTAAAACATAATGTTGGACTACTGATTATGACCTTACCTAAAGGGGTAACAACAACTTTTCCAAATAAAAAAACATATATTTAGACTCCAATTTATGATAGAAGTATGGAATGCCTATTTGAAGACGAGCAATATGAATGAGTGCATACCACAAGACCGAGCTGAACAGAAGAAAAATTGAACCATGTAGTTCCACTAAGCTCCGCTGACTGAAAATATACATGCAAAAAAGAAGAAATCTCGAGTTATTATTTCAAATATAAAAATAGTAAATTTAGAGATTAAAATTTAATAAACACAAGCATTACCTGCAGGGAGATAGTAGCACCAGAAGTTGCACCGATATCATAGCCAAACAATAAACCACCCAAAGCTGGAAATAGAAATCTGATATTCAAGAACATATCTCAGACCTTGCCACTATTTACCAATAATTAGTCATAGGATTGATATTGGTTACTTCAAGTTCAAGTGTATTTACTATGAAAAGAAATAAGTGCAAATACATGACTGAAATAAAATAGTAGACAAAATAGAGTTTTAATATGCAGTGAGCATATTGGTATTATCTGTTAGGGACCCGGCCCAATTGTTAGGGACCCGGCCCAATAGAGTATAATAATAATAATAAAATGTATAAGTCTAGTATAAATAGAATAGGCTGGGAAAGGAGGGGAGGCTTTTGGGACTTTCGGTCTTGGGACTTGGGAAGATTAGAGAGTTATTCTCTCTTCTCTTTGGGAGGCTTCGGCCTTTGTTACTGTTTCTCCTCTGTAACGGATCTTCTTCAATAAAGGTTTTTCAGTTTGTTTCTTGATAATAATTCCTGTAATTGCAGTAATCTTGGAGGACTCTATCAGTGGTATCAGAGCAGTCGATTACTGTGAAGGATTTTGACGCAGGCAAAGATGGAAGAGCTTTGTACGCCAGAAATGGAGGAGAGGATGGATTCGATAGAGAAAAAATTTGAGGAATCAATTGCGAGGTTCGAGAAATTGAAGGCGGTGATGGAGGCTGGTTTTGCCGAGATTAAAAAACAGAAGAAAGATCGATCGAGGAATCGATCGCATCATTCGAAGAATACGGATAGTTCGCAAGGTTCAGATAATCATCATAGACACAAGCGACAGTCGGCGAGCTCAGAGGAGTTGGAAGATCTGAGGCGTTGCAGAAGAACGGAAGAACGATCGAGGAAGACCAGGTCTCTTCCGCTAACTGACGAACAAGGTTCGTCGCATCGCTCTTCCCATCGCCCTTTAAATCATCATTCGCAGAATGAGTCACGAAGGAGGACTCCTAATTCGCATCCAAGAGAGTCGCGATCATCTTCATCGGCAGTTGAGCATCTTTGTTCCCAAAGTTCGTCACATAGCTCTTCGCAGAGCTCCTCTCATCGCACTTCGCATCACCGTTCGCAGAATTCATCTTCTGACCTCGGTTTTTGTCCAAATAAATCACCAGTCGATTGTCACTATATCCCTTCTTCTTCTCAGATTGTCCTTCGGTGCTCACCAGATTTATCGCAAGAAGGTTTTATTCCTGCTCCAGAGATTCTTCCGTCCATAAAGAAGAATGAGAGAGAGACAAATGAATATGAACCTGAAATCAAGAAAACAAATAAGGAGGACGAAAGCGAGGAGCAAACTACAGTTGTAGGTGTCCTAAAGTCGCAAACTGTTCTTCAGGTTAAACAATCGCCAGATTATGCGTTTCCTAATCTTGTAGTTGATATGGATTTAATTTCCAGTATAGTTTCTATTACTGACCTGCTTATCCATCCATGTTCCTTTGGAAGTAAAGTCTTAACTGATTATGAAATGGGAGCAGTTAAAATCAAGAACGTTTTAGATGATAAAGCTGTTCTGATTAAAAGTCAAGAACCTAGACAACCATGGGAAATGATTTTAGAATACTCAGGTATTGGTAAAAAGAAAGCTGGTCCAGAGGCTCAGGAGGTTCATGTGGATTTTTTAGGAGAAATTGCGATGAGGTTGGGAATCTGCAAACAAAGTCATGAGGGTGACAAGTCCAGCCATTTCCAGCATTTTGGCAGAAGTTCGCCACAACTCGCAATCTTGATTGTTAAAAACTATTCAGGTTCTTTTCCTACTGAGGTGTCCAAATTGGTGCAAGATAAGTGGGTAAAGCCTACAGGTTATGAAATAATATTGAATTACCAAAATGAGGAAGCATTGATACAAGTTGCAGGAGCTCAAGAAGCAGAATTGCAGTCAATTGTTGGCAGCATGTTAGACTACCCCAAGCATAACTTACATAATTCCCATAGAATACCTGAAGGTTATCAATTGTTGGGAGACATCTCAGAAATGACAGCTCATAACCTATTACTTCCTGAGGGTTATAAAGTCTTCACAAGGTTTTTATGGAGGTGGAACCCAAAGAGTTACCAGCAAACTTCCGCTATTAGGGCTCCTGGTAGCATACAACCCTTGGATGTTCACATCTTACCTTATGTTAAGCAAATGGGGACTAAACCACAACATTTTGAAGAATTGGCTAAGGGCTGCTGGATAGTATCTGAACCGAATGAAACTTCACTTCAAATCTCTGCTATTGTTGAAAGTCCTGTGATTTTAAAAGATCTCATACTAAAGTCCCTAGTCCATCAACCAGTTAGATATTGGGAAGGAAGAGGAACAAGAAAGAGGAAGAGGAAGCAGAAGATTGTGGCTATGTCATATAACCCACCTTGAGGGCAAGGTGGATGTTTAGGGGGGGAGAATTGTTAGGGACCCGGCCCAATTGTTAGGGACCCGGCCCAATAGAGTATAATAATAATAATAAAATGTATAAGTCTAGTATAAATAGAATAGGCTGGGAAAGGAGGGGAGGCTTTTGGGACTTTCGGTCTTGGGACTTGGGAAGATTAGAGAGTTATTCTCTCTTCTCTTTGGGAGGCTTCGGCCTTTGTTACTGTTTCTCCTCTGTAACGGATCTTCTTCAATAAAGGTTTTTCAGTTTGTTTCTTGATAATAATTCCTGTAATTGCTGTAATCTTGGAGGACTCTATCATTATCCCAGTGATTATAGTGACCATGATGAAGTTCAATTTTGCATTGCATAAACCAAGTTGGTATTTTTGTAATGACCACGCAATCATATTTTAATAATATTATAAAAACCCTATTTTATTATAAACCCAAGTACATGAGTGAGGAGCAACAATCATAGATGACTATTTTTCAATCAAATTTTGGTGGGTTGAAAAGTGTTCTACATCAGCACAATATGAATGAATATAACTATATAAGTATATAACTCATAATAAGTGCGGCATTGAAACATCCTCACTTCACGAGAGCACTTTGAGGTTGTGTTAGCATACTTGATAAACTTTCAATTAACTGTTTCGGGTGATGTATCAAAGTAAACTTCTATTGGACATAATTATTGGGACTTGGGAGTAACATTATTATTGTACATGTTTGGATATTGGACCCCGGCCTATTACTATTCCCAAAGCCCAATATAATAGCCCACTTGTAGCCCACTTGTGAGGCCCTCTCGGCCCGTTAGGGCATAATTGTACCCTCCCCCTTTTCCTATAAATAGGAGGATTCCCCTCCATGCTAATGATTCTTTTCTCTCTCCCTCCTCTAGCTTCTTCTTCGCCACTATACCTACACCCCTAGAATAGTTCTAAGACTCCATTAATGGGAGCTTCTTGTACCATGTAAATATGGGGAGGAATATTAATAAAAAGAGATTAGGCTTGGATTTAGCCTGAAAAGTCATGTGGTTTTCACCATTTTGGGTTTCCACATAAAGATCGAGTGTTACTACTATTATTGTTCTTGAGCTATGATTACATAGATTTATACAATAAATCTCGTGTTGTAATTAACCTCAACAGTACCTAATTAATAGCTGGTACTTTTAATTACATTGTTTACATCTTTAGTGAAACTCAACCAGCTCAAATTTCATTATTTAGTAAATCACTTCATTGAATCATAAGTGATCTGATATTGAGATTATCCTAAATGACAGATTATAAACAGTTCTGCATCCTCAAGAACATGATACATGCTGCTCATATCAAATTTTTTATCTTGTTAAACTGTAATAACAAGATACATCCCGCTATTATTATTATTATTGTTGTTGTTGTTGTTATTATCATCTGAGGTATATATTCAGTATATTATATCTAAATTCTACAAGATTTTGATTTGTCTCATCATTTTTATAGGGATGCTCCTACAGTCCTACCAATACAGAAATGGGAGCAAAATCAAGAATGTCAAAATAACTAAGCAGTCCTATATTCACATATTAGCAGTTAGCAGGGAACAAATAAGGTTTGGATAAAGATGAAAATTAATGCACTCACGGAAGAAGAACAGAGGACCAGCTGAATTCCTCTTGATACACCGAATCAGAATCCAAAGGCTCCGTCCCTTCTCCTCCGGCTAGAATCTAGTAAAGTGTCATTTTTTCAGTGAAAAGAATCAGTTTTTCGCCATTAGAAGAGAAAAGAACTCAGTAATTCTCTGGGGCATTCACCTCGAGGTTTGACTTTCGGTCGGAGGAGCAGGGGACTCCTCTAGAGAAGGTTGTGTTACTGCAAGGCTTCAGAAAGATGCTCCTTGAATGTGGGTCAGTTGGTCTCTTAGCTGAATTAGTACAGATGAATTTGGAGACAGGCGATTGGGATGAGTTGGGTGGACGTAATAATTGTGGGTTAGAAGTAGGAAGTCTGGCATTCAGCCTCAATTGAAGAGAAGAGAAAGCCATGAGTGAATTTTTTCAAAGATTTGGACCGATTGATCTTGCTGATATGAAACTTTGAAGGATTTGGCATTTACTTCCGTTTCATGCCTGGAGTAACTTGTATGTGTTTTTCTTTTCTTGCTGTCTCTTTTTTTTTGGCAAAATTTCTTAGGTTTTAGTAGTTGAAACATTCATATTTTTACACCATTTACCTACCTATATTAGATTTGTATTAATGTAAATATCCAAAATCTTATTTTTTTAATAATGTTTACTACTACGTATTATACAATTAAATATATTTACAATCAAAGTTGTTCATCGACAAACGTGAAAGTCAAATTGTTACAATTAAAAACGAACGATGATAGTATATACAAGTACTATCTATTGTATAAAAATTCAAAACACAATGTATGGTAATGGTTAGAAATATTTCAATCAATTTAAAATTATCAAATAAATCTTCTTTTTAGTGTGTCTATGTACATGACTCCCAAGATTAAGGTAAACTCGTTGAGGGGCAAATAAGCCCTCGAACTAATTAAAAAAGTGCAAATAAGCTCTTTTGTAGGAGGTTCTGTCCGATCATCGTCATTTGGGGAGGTTCTCGGTGGAATTTTTTGATGAATTTTTTTGAGCATCTTCTTCATTAAGTCTAGTTTAGCCATACCGAATTTCAGCTAAAAATGCAACCGGGAAGGCACTCAAATGATTTTCGGAAATATACTGCATTGTTTAACTGCGCAGTTATCTTCAAAAATTCATTTGACTGTCTTCCCGGTTGAATTTTTAGCTGAAATTCAGTAGCACCAAACTAGACTTAATGAATAAGATGCTCAAAACATTTCATCAAAAAAATCCACCGTGAACCTCCCCAAATGACGATGACCGGACGGAACCTCCTACAAAAGGGCTTATTTGCACTTTTTTGATTAGTTCGAGGGCTTATTTGCCCCTTTTCTCTACATTGTAAAATCCTCACTTTCTAGTGTGTCTATGTGCAATAATATGAGATTTTGTTTCAGAAAAAAGTGAAAGAAACTCTTCTAATAGGGGTTGTTATGCCAATGGCCTAATGCAACGTACATGGAGCAAGCCTTTTACGCAAATAATTTGGTAAGCAATTTCGTGGATTATTTTAGCCTATACAAGATATTATATTTAGTTCAATTATTTACAACTGAAAAAAATGAATGCTTGTGTTTTTTGAAGGGTGCAAGTGAGGGGAATGATCCAGTTGATATCTTCTATACCACTCGCAAGAAAGGTGATAAGCTTCTGAATGTGGAGATAACATAAAAACATGTATGCCCATTTTTCTATTGTTTGTTCACTTGATTATGAAATTAAACATTTTTCCTTACAAAAAGAACTTGTTTTTCATCTCCCTAAAGATATTTATGATAGCACTATCGCTATGTCCGGCGATATTAATGAATAAAAATAACAGATTATAGTGTTTATGATAGTACTAGTCTTGTCTATAAGAGCGGATCTACCCTCAAATTAGGGTAAGCATAGGCTGCACCTCAAATATTTCCTTACTGTAGTGGTGGTACTGTTCTTTTAAGGTCTCGTGTTGGAGTGTTGAGCTAGGCCGTTACCAAGTTAAATTTTGCACGCCTAATATGTGGAGCTACATTTTTTCTTTATAAATAAATTTGTAAGTTGATGGGTTTGAACATAGAATCAATGCAAATAGAGAATTAAAATGACACTTAGTTTCAACCAATTAGATTTTCGTTCAACTCAAACAGCACAAATCTATATGTAAAGGCAGTCTAGTGAGGTGATTGTTTACAAAGTATTATTTCATATAAATAATTCATTTGTAGTTATATGTAAATTGTGTCTATTTATGTTTTATTTTTCAATGCTAAGAGCTAACTATTTTTGTTTTTATCCTTGTTGAAAATATTTAAATTTAACTAGTCATTTTCCATTTAATTAACTATTTTAAGTCTCATTATTTCCACATATCATTTTCTTTTATTTTCAAACAATACTAGTTTAATCTTTTTTCAACTTCTGCTTTGCTTTCATTAAAAAAAATCCCTGATTTTTAAAGAGGGTTTTATTGTTTACGTTGAAAGACTAATTAATAACATAGTTTTTGGATGGAGTCTACGAAAACAAGTATTGAATGAAAAAAAATTCCTTTTGTACACGTTTTTATACCCATCAGTACACGCATGTGTCTGTGAGAGTTATTTTTTGTCTGTGAAGCGCAGTCCACAGACAAAAGCTGGCTTGTTTTGTCTGTGGACTGTGGAAAATTTCACAGACAAAACAAGCCAACTTATGTCTGTGGACTGCACTTCACAGACAAAAAAATACTCTCACAGACACAAGCGTGTACTGATGGGTATAAAAACGTGTACACCAAGAATTCTTCTTGAATGAAATGTGAGGTTTTGGTGTTGTTGCTTCCATTAAAGTCAGTTTTTAACATGCATTAAAATGGTGGGAGTTATAGTGTTGTTGCTGAAAAATGTGAGGTAGCATGTGTTCTATGTTGAATGAAATGAAGTCCATGAAAACTAGAATTGTTGCAGGCAGCTTGTAGATCTTGTTTATGATCTCTATTTTGCAAGAAGAAATTCACGAGATAATTAATAGAAAATGATCTTTCTTAGGTAGCACAAAAGGTTTTTAAGTACAAGTCTAACAAAGAAGTTCAAGCCAAGATAATGAAAACAATTCATAATGAAAATACCGCACTTAAGGATCGTGTGGAGACAACAATTCAGGATAAAAATACCACATTAAGGATCGTGTAGGTTTTGTGGAGTCTCACATGCGAATCTTCCAAGAGATGTTGGTGAATCAACTTAATGTTTCTATTCCTCTGTGGATTGGATCACAAGGTATGTATGACTAAACACGGTAGTAAATGAAGTAAAAGTGGAGAACAAAATGTGTGATTTATTTAAGAAGCATATGAATTATTTCGGTAAATTATATCGTACACCCGGTTGTACGGTGCTCACCGTACAACCAGGTATTTTTGCAATTAATTAAAATTCCAGCGGTAAAGGCTATGCAATTTGTTCTTCCATTCGTGCTGCCGCTGAGATCCTGGGAGTTGGGAGTAGGCGCCGATCGATTTCTGTTCATCGTTGGCTGAAGTCGAATTGTGAAGGAGGTGACACTGCTCGCTCCCTGGACGCTGAAGTCGCTTGCTAACTAATTCCAGGATCTCACGGCCTTTGTTCTCAAATCGCAGGGAGTAAGGCACCTTTTGATCTAGAGAATCGTAGAATCGTGCACGACCTTTGTTCTCAAATAGCAGGAGGAGTAATTCCAATTTTAAGATGATATTTAATATTATATTTTAATATTATATCTAAATATTGTGTGTTAAAAGTTTCAGCTTGTTAATCAACATAAATTTTATGTTATATTGAAAATGAGTATAGTGTTAATAATAAATGTGTATTCCGATTTAAAGAATTGAACATACATAAATGAATATTGTTAATGAATATTTGAGCGCATCAGAGATTTTAATGAGCTTTTGAATTTTTCAATGCTCATTTTATAATATATGTATACTCATTCGGGACTGCTGTTATGCTCATTTTAAAATGTCATATCAATGCTTATGAAACTAATGCTCAACATAATAAGTATCATGTTCATTAAAAGTGTATTAATGTTCATTAACTGAAACCATTATTTCCATCTCAATAGAGGAGGTTTGATTCTCAATGAAAATATTGTGATTTTCAACTAACAGATTCATTAGTGCTCATTTTGTTAGTTATGTATGTTCATCTGATACCGATCTTATGCTCATATATTAGACTCCTAATACTCAACGTAATATATCAGATGCTCATTAAAAGTTCATTAATGCTCATTCACAAGAAACTGTGGTTTTCATCTCAATAGCGGATGTTTGATGCTCAATTAAAATGACGTGATGTTCAACTAACAAAACCTTACGATTTTCATATCAATGTACACTTTGTAGTTATGCATGCTCATTTGGTACTGATGTAAAGCTCATTTTTACAATGTCTTATCAATGCATATTTCAAAAGTATCATATTATATTAGACTCGCATATTGAAATTAATAAGAGTGAATTATAGATATAATTTAATAAGTTTTTATAAAAGAAAAAATAAGAAAAAGAAAGAGAATTAGAATATATGAAGCAAATATCGTGAAACTCATTGTTAGCCTCCTAATACTCAATAAAATAGACTAGATGCTCACTAAAATTACATTATTGCTCGTTTAGCGGAAGCCGTGAGTTTTCTCTTAAATTACAAAATTGCCACCGAAATAAAACTGGCCTGTATTGGTTGTTGGACTGTCTTCCTTAGTTGGGCCGGGTGTACGTACACCCGGTTGTATAATATAGGCTCTCAATTATTTCTCTTACAAGTATTTATGTCATTTTGTTTGAAAATCTGAATTCTATGCTCTTTTTTGTAGGTTATAAAGATGACAATTGAAGTTTGCATTTTTTCACCCCACATCAATGCCATCGAGCTACTGCTTAACTTTGATTTAGTACTCACTTCTTCATATAATTATTGATACATATTGAGATTTTATTTTAATTATGTGGATGATTATTATAGTGTATCGACTTCATTAGAATAATTGTTATATTTAGAAAATATCTTATTGTTAAATTTATTGGAAGATTAGAAATTTGATGTATATATGGTTGTTCAATGTATAGTTCAAGTACTTTAATTTATTTCATGTAGTTCTAATCAGTAACAAAGCATTCTAATAGTAATATACCATCGTACATGGTATGATTTTCAAACCAAAATATCAATTCCTAAATAAAGA